AGGCCCTGGAGAGTGAACCCGCACCTGCCCTCCTGAGCGCACCTACGTTCCCATGATGATAAGGGATCGGCTATTGACCTGGGAGCACACAGCTGTCGTCTCTGGACATCCAGGTATTACTCACACCGTTCAGTCCATCTCTGGAAAGTACTGGTGGCCCACCTTGGTGCAGGACGTCACTCTATGTCAACTCCTGTTCTGTATGTGCCCAATCCAAATCCCCCTGGGAACGCTCCAGCAGGGAAACTCCTTCCCCTTCCCGTGCCTCAGCGTCCCTGGTCTCATCTGTCCATTGACTTTGTCACTGATCTCCCCTCTTCTGATGGTTTTACCACCATTTTGGTGATATTGGACAGATTCTCTAAATCATACCGTTTCATCCCTCTCTCTGGGCCTGATTCCTTCCTTGGGCCAAATACGCTGTCCGCAGGCGGAACGCCACCGCAGTGAGGCTCCCATGTTCCCACAATGATCAACCAGTTTTTCTCCAGTCCTTTGGAAGACCGGCTTTTCAATCCGAAAAACATTTAACAATGCAGGAGAACTGGTCCAGGTGGAATCAGCCACTCTCTATCCAAATGTCCAATGAGTTGACTTTTATCCTCTTCCCTCTCAATGTGGCCCTGCCAGCATAATTGCATTGACTTCTGTGAACGTGGGACTCAAAGAACAAAGCTGATGTGCTAAAAATAAAGGCATATACCATATCATAGCCAATTACACATTCATTGAGGTGCTCAGTGCCCCTGAGGCAGACTATAATTATAACTAACCTGCCTGCCTCCAACCTACACACAGGCACAGAGATATGGAGAATTTATACAAACATGCCTAGCTAAATACACTGCTCAAAAAAATTAAGGGAACACTAAAATAACACATCATATATCTGAATGAATGAAATAATCTTATTAAATACTTTTTTCTTTACATAGTTGAATGTGCTGACAACAAAATCACACAAAAATTATCAATGGAAATCAAATTTATCAACCCATGGAGGTCTGGATTTGGAGTCACCCTCAAAATTAAAGTGGAAAACCACACTACAGGCTGATCCAACTTTGATGTAATGTCCTTAAAACAAGTCAAAATGAGGCTCAGTAGTGTGTGTGGCCTCCACGTGCCTGTATGACCTCCCTACAACGCCTGGGCATGCTCCTGATGAGGTGGCGGATGGTCTCCTGAGGGATCTCCTCCCAGACCTGGACTAAAGCATCCGCCATCTCCTGGACAGTCTGTGGTGCAATGTGGCATTGTGGATGGAGCGAGACATGATGTCCCAGATGTGCTCAATTGGATTCAGGTCTGGGGAACGGGCGGGCCAGTCCATAGCATCAATGCCTTCCTCTTGCAGGAACTGCTGACACACTCCAGCCACATGAGGTCTAGCATTGTCTTGCATTAGGAGGAACCCAGGGCCAACCGCACCAGCATATGGTCTCACAAGGGGTCTGAGGATCTCATCTCGGTACCTAATGGCAGTCAGGCTACCTCTGGCGAGCACATGGAGGGCTGTGCGGCCCCCCAAAGAAATGCCACCCCACACCATGACTGACCCACCGCCAAACCGGTCATGCTGGAGGATGTTGCAGGCAGCAGAACGTTCTCCACGGCATCTCCAGACTCTGTCACATGTGCTCAGTGTGAACCTGCTTTCATCTGTGAAGAGCACAGGGCGCCAGTGGTGAATTTGCCAATCTTGGTGTTCTCTGGCAAATGCCAAACGTCCTGCACGGTGTTGGGCTGTAAGCACAACCCCCACCTGTGGACGTCGGGCCCTCATACCACCCTCACGGAGTCTGTTTCTGACCGTTTGAGCAGACACATGCACATTTGTGGCCTGCTGGAGGTCATTTTGCAGGGCTCTGGCAGTGCTCCTCCTGCTCCTCCTTGCACAAAGGCGGAGGTAGCGGTCCTGCTGCTGGGTTGTTGCCCTCCTACGGCCTCCTCCACTTCTCCTGATGTACTGGCCTGTCTCCTGGTAGCGCCTCCATGCTCTGGATGAGCTGCACTACCTGAGCCACTTGTGTGGGTTGTAGACTCTGTCTCATGCTACCACTAGAGTGAAAGCATCGCCAGCATTCAAAAGTGACCAAAACATCAGCCAGGAAGCATAGGAACTGAGAAGTGGTCTGTGGTCACCACCTGCAAAACCAGTCCTTTATTGGGGGTGTTTTGCTAATTGCCTATAATTTCCACCTGTTGTCTATTCCATTTGCACAACAGCATGTGAAATGTATTGTCAATCAGTGTTGCTTCCTAAGTGGACAGTTTGATTTCACAGAAGTGTGATTGACTTGGAGTTACATTGTGTTGTTTAAGTGTTCCCTTTATTTTTTTGAGCAGTGTACAACAGAGATTAAAATTGAGGCCATACAAACTTGCCTGCTTTATTGCTACAAACAGAAACAGTACTATTATGATCTGCACAGTGCCTTCATAAAGTATTCACACCCCTAGACTTTTTCCACATTTTGTTGTTACAAAGTGGGATTAAAATGGATTTAATTGTCGTTTGTCAGCAATCTACACAAAATTGGATTGTGCATTATCGTTCCACACCTGGATTGTGCAACATCTTTCCACACCTGGATTGTGCAACGTTTGCCATTATTATTTTCAAAATTCTTCAAGCTCTGTCAAATTGGTTGTTGATCATTGCTATACAACCATTTTCAGGTCCTTCCATAGATTTAAGCAGATTTAAGCCAAAACTGTAACTCGGCCACTCAGGAACATTCACGGTCTTCATGGTAAGCAATGCCAGTGTAGATTTGGCCTTGTGCTTTAGGTTATTGTCCTGCTGAAAGGTGAATTCATGTCCCAGTGTCTGGTGGAAAGCAGACTGAACCAGGTTTTCCTCTATGATTTTGCCTGTGCTTAGCGACATTCCTTTTTTTTTTTTATCCTGAAAAACTCCCGTCCTTAACGATTACAAGCATACCCATAACATGATGCAGCCACCACTATGTTGTGTAGTAAGCTTTCATTGTCTGCTTATATGCCCCCTAAATTTATCCTATGGTTTTGACTTGGTGTACAGGCAGAATACTGTAAGAACAGCCATATTCTGAATTCTGTCGCTGTACATAAAGTGCTGAACTAAGTCATAGTTGACTACAGCCGTCCTAGCTCGCTCATGTCTTAGTCAAAATTATGGATTGCCTCTTATCCGCTTGTCGTCCCCTTATGCCATAGTTTGTACGTCTCAATTGTCAGTAGAAACCATTTGTTAAAGCAAGTCAGCCATGGTTTTTAAAAGGCAGTAAATGAGGCTGAATGAACATGTCGCTGCCAGACAAGGCTCCACTGATAGGCAGGTGTAGCGGTGGTAAGGATTCACTCCATGGTGCTGAAAAGAAAGCTCTGCTGTTGGGACAGCTTTATGTAGGCCCTAACAGTTTGTCACCGTTATATTGCAATTAATGTATCGTTTGTGATGATTTGATGGCATGCATTTAAAAAAAAAAAAGGTTTGCCCCACCAACATTTATGCTAAAATCACCACTGGAAACTATGATCACCATGAGCCACAATTTGGGAAGTCATTAACCTGCATCTCCACTAGCAGTTGTCTGCAACATTAACCTAATACTCAGTGGCATAGAAATGTACTGGTTGTCCTTTGTGTAATAGGATGCACCAATGCTTCTCCACAACATATGCCACCTTCAAGACACTGGCAATATTGGGCTGAGATAGGCCAGTCATTTATAGATGGGTTTCCCAAACTCAGTCCTGGGGGGCACGTTTTGGTTTTTGGCCTAGCACTGCACAGCAGATTCAAATAATCAAAGCTTGATGAGTTGGTTATTTTACGTCAGCTTTGTAGTGCTAGGGCAAAACCAAAATATGCACCCAGGTGTCACCCTAGGACAGTTTGGGAAACCCTGATTTACAGTGCTGCAGATGTGACCATAGGAAACGTTTCAAACTAAGAACTTATGTTCTCATTGGACAAGATCAGTATCAACTACACCAGGGATGGGCAACTGATGGGGTGGGGGCAACAAAATCTGAACCGAGGCTAGCAGGTCTGCATACCCTCATCCATACAGAGCCAGCCCTAGCCTGTTGAGGGCGCCAAGTGAAATTGTTGGAACCACTGGGCTCCCGAGTGGCGCAGCATCTCAGTGCTTGAGGCGTCACTACAGACCCCCTGGTTCAATTCCAGGCTGTATCACAACCGTACGTGATTGTGAGTCCCATAGGGCGGCGCACATTTGGCCCAGCGTTGTCCAGGTTTGGCCGGTGTAGGCCGTCATTGTAATTAAGAATTTGTTCTTAACTGACTTGCCTAGTTAAATAAATAAAACAAACTAGTCTAGACATCTCAAAGAACATGCCATTGTGTCAAAGGCTACCTAACAAGTAAGTACCTCAACAAATATTTAACCGCTCCATAAATAATAATACATGGTATCATTTAGTACAGCAAGTTTGGTTTTATTAAGACATTCATACAGTTTTAGGGAAAATGGCTACACGCTCAAAACGAGCTGTTAGGAAAAACGTATGGAGCAAAATATGGTCAAACCAAGGATTTGACAAAGCGTGATATGGTACACTTAAATTAACACATTCCACTTAAGTAAAAAGAAAAGTGAGTTAAATCTAACATTGTCTAAATCTAACATTAGACTCGCATTCCACCGCACATATGTTAGCATAACATAATTGGCAGACTTAATACCGCACTAATACCCTTTAGTCCAAAAGTAAATCATTAAATGGTGAACAACATCCACTACACACACCTTAATTGAACACTGAAAGAAACTACTGATAAGAACCATCATGTTGACTGTCTCCATGGCTTGTGGTTTCAACCAGCAAACTCTCTCAAGGTTAGAATCTACAACTGTCCACGAGAGACCACCATTGTCACCTCATCTTACAAATATCGGAAGTCTGATTCAAGGATAGCATTGAGAAGTTTGCCTCAAATAAACACAATGAGAGTACGACCGCTAGCACTGCGTTAAAATCTCCCAGGTTCAAATCAGGTCAGCCACGTTCAAAGGCATCTCGTCCACTGTCGTATTGTAAAACGTCTCGATGTCCCGAAGGATACGCTTGTCCTCCTCGGTCACAAAGTTTATAGCCACGCCTTTTCTGCCAAAACGGCCACCACGACCAATTCTGGAGAAATGGGGGAGGAGGAACAATCTTTAGGTACAGGTCCACTTTCCAATTACAATAGATTCAGTCTCAGCACGTAATAATATAATATGCCATTTAGCAGACGCTTTTATCCAAAGCAACTTACAGTCATGCGTGCATACATTTGTGTATGGGTGGTCCCGGGGATCGAACCCACTACCTTGGCGTTACAAGCGCCGTGCTCTACCAGCTGAGCTACAGAGGACCACGTCTTCCATTTAGTCAGGGACTGTACATACCTGTGAATATAATTCTCTCGGTTTGTAGGAAGGTCATAGTTTATGACCAGGGAAACCTGCTGCACATCAATTCCTCGAGCCTGAATAAATAAATAAAAACACGAGTTAAACTCAATTCAAGTTGAAGCGCCATCAGATTTACAATGCATTTGATTGTAAATGTAGTCTGACATTAAGTAACAGATTCCTACAGTGAGAGAAACCCGTGGTGGAGAACAAACATTTAATCTCCCAAAAGGTGTTACTGCTAAGCCATAAAAAGGGCAGTCGCAGAGAAAAAGCTTTTGGGTTGCATTTGGGATAACAATAACATGTAACCATGTCAAGTAATCATTCATGACAGTTAGATAAGAGCGAGATTCCAGCCTCACCAGTAAGTCAGTTGTGATGAGTCCTCTGCTGGAGCCAGACCTGAACTCCCTCTCCTTCTGGTCCATGTCTCCATGCTGGAAAACACAAACCACGTTCATTCAACCTGCATTCTAAAATACAACCCCATGTCCAATATGACAGTAATTTTAGCGACATTATAATTCAGGTAGCAATGTTTCTGGTGGTCTTACCAGAGCAGAGACAGTGAAGTCCCTTAAGTGCATCTTCTCGGTCAGCCAGTCGACCTTCCTCCTGGTGTTGAGGAAGATGACTGCCTGAGTGATTGTCAGCGTCTCCTACAGGTCGCATAACGTGTCCAACTTCCACTCCTGGAAGAACCGCGAGGGAAACAACTTATTTCACCGACCAGACCTGGCAAGCCTTACAACATACCCCACTTCTAAATGATGAAACATTACAATAAATATTGTAGCACAGAATGTTGAGACAAAGGACACTGGACATTAAGCGGTCCGTCCTAGCCTCATTTCAACAATGCTTTTACTGTCCTTCCTTGGTGTACCCATGCTTACATGCCCGCAAGAGCCAAGCCCGAAAGCCTCGCCCCACAATTTTAGCAGGGTGCTTTAAAGAAGGGAAATGCTATATACTTTGTGGACTACAAAAACACAATATTTGCAACTGGATATATTTGTATTTATTACAGATCCCCTTAGCTGCTGCCAAGGCAGCAGCTACTCTTCCTGGGGTCCAGCAACATCAAAGCAGTTATATACACACAATACAAAATATTACATGGCATTACATTTCATAACACATGTAGAGCCATGTCTTTTCTGAACACTACCCACCTCTCGCTCTACATTGATGTAGAACTGCTTAATACCCTCTAGTGTAAGCTCTTATTTTTTCACCAGAATGCGAATGGGCTCTCGCATGAACTTCTTTGTCACCTCCAGCACATCCGTAGGCATGGTGGCAGACAGGAGGACCACCTGCAGAGAGTTAGGAGAAACACTTGTTAAAACTGCAACTGGAGGAAAAATGCGCTCATCATTAATAGTTGCTGATTAATTGTTGCACTGGGCCTTGAGACAAGAGGTCAACGAACATTAAGAAAGAGGTTCGACCACAACTCATTTCTGGCACAGTGCATAGTGCTCTCCTTCCACGCAATACTCTGCTAGCATTATTGCATAAACCAAGCGAACCTGGATTCTGCAATTTTAGCACAGTTCTTTTATGTGGAAGTGGGGTGACTGGGGCAGAGACAAGCCCATGCTGATTGCCTTGTGACAACAAGATTTAACTTTATTTCTACAGTAAAGCTCAAGAATTGAATCTGGAAATCTACACATATTTACGAGTAAAATGTGCAAAATACAACAAATGAGACCTACTTGAATGTGTGTGCTCAGTTTCTGGAAGATCTCATATATCTGATCCTTGAAGCCACGACTCAGCATCTCATCAGCTTCGTCCAGGACAAACATCTTGATGCATTTCGGAGCTTTAAGTAGATGTTAGAGGGCACAACTTAAAATCTGCACCGTGGTCAAGCCAAACTAGAAGGGCCTCTAAAGCACGCCAATGGACAAGATTATATATAAGATTTATATATACACACTTTCTTACTTAAAAACTTTGCATTTTTGGTTAAACGCTTGTAAGTAAGCATTTCACAGTAAGGGCTACACCTGTTGTATTCAGCTCATGTGACAAATACAATTTGATTTGAATAGGAGTTAGTCAGATGGCAGATACTTACACTGATGACTACTTACACAGGTATCTCCTGTTAAGCATATCAAACACCCGGCCTGGAGTTCCTACCACTATGTGGGGGGGCCTCGGCCTGCAGCTTCTGCATCTCGTTGCGGACGTTGGTGCCCCCAATGCAGGCGTGGCAGGCAGCACCCATGTAGTCCCCCAAAGCCAGAATCACCTTCTGGATCTAAGAAAACAGATCAAACAAATACAAATGCTTCATGACGATTTGCTCTCAGCATCAATGTATTATACTGGACTCAACGGTTTTGAGTGATCAGTAAAACAAGTTGTCACCATTATCAGGTCTGTCCCGAAAGATGAAATGCCATCATTTCACTCAACACTTCTTACAGAAGGGAACTGAAATCCCCTATAACAAGTAGTCAGCTCAACTTTCAGACCAATGCAGTCATGGACGGACTACACCAATCCTAAAAGAGAGCCATCACCTCCTTTAGCCCAATTAGATGATTTTTGCATAAAGAAATTAAAGTGGCGGAAAAAATAAAGACCTTTTTAGTTTGAGATCGTCCGAATATGCCGCCTCGGTCTGATACACACTTAAGTTTATCCTGTCCTCAGGTACAGCATACCTGCTGAGCCAGCTCCCTGGTGGGGGCCAGAACCAGAGCCTGGGTCCCTTTCTGCTCGAGATAGCAAATGTGGCAGTCTTGCCCGTGCCTGACTGGGCTTGGGAAATGACATCGTAGCCTGGGAAGGGAAAGATAAAAGGGGTTGCATGATCAGAATAAAAAATAAATAAAACGTTGCTTTGCCGAGTGACAATTGACTTGAGTGATCAGTAATACTAAAAAATAGTTATCTCCATTGCTGTGTCAGTCCCGAAAGATGGTATGCCATCATTTCACTCAATATATCCGAGAATTTTGAACTTGTAATTATACTGAACAAAAATATAAACGCAACATATAAAGTGCTGGTCCCATGTTTCATGAGCTGAAATAAAAGATCTCAGAAAATGTCCATATGCACAAAAAGCTTCTCACATTTTGTTTATATCCCTTTTAGTGAGCATTTCTACTTTGCCAAGATAATACAGCCACCTGACATGTGGCAAATCAAAAAGCTGATTAAACAGCATGATCATTACACAGGTGCACCTTGTACTGTGGACAATAAAATGCCACTAAAAGGTGCAGGTTTGTCACACGACACAATGCCACAAATGTGTCAAGTTGAGGGAGCGTGTAATTGACATTCTGACTGCAGGAATGTCCAACAGGGGTGTTGCCAGATAATTTAATGTTAATTTTTCTACCATAAGCTAACCCCAAAGTAGTTTCAGAAAATATGGCAGTACGTCCAACCGGCCCCACAACCGCAGACCACGTGTAACCACGCTAGCCCAGGACCTCCACATCTGGCTTTTTTGCCTGCAGGATCATCTGAGAGTGGAGTGGGGGGGGGGCGGGGGCTGCCATGTGGGTGGGCCTATCCATGCGAAATCCATAGATTAGGGCCTAATGAATTTATTTCAATTAACTGATTTCCTTCTATGAACTGTAACTCAGTAAAATCTTTGAAATTGTCACGTTTATATTTTTGGTCAGTATATTTATTTGTATCAACAAGCCATTGATTCGCATACCTTTGATACAAGGAATGATTGCCCTCTGTTGAATGGCTGATGGCTTCTCAAAACCATATGCATAGATACCCCTAAGGTGTCTCCTTCAGGGCCATGTCATCGAAGTTGTCCGTAATCGCTTTCCAGTTGCTCTGCACAATAAGAGTATTCAGTTTACACATCGTTTTGATTACATAAGTGGTTTAGATGACAGTGAGTTAACTGCAGGCCTATGCTTGAGGTTTTTGAGCGATCAGTATAAAAAGTTGTCACCATTATCAGGTCTGTCCCGAAAGATGAAATGCCATCATTTCACTCAACACCCGCTACAGAAATGAACTGAAATCCACTATAACAAGTGGTATGCAAGGAGTCAGGTACATTTTCAGACCACACCAATCCTCAGAGATCTTTTATTTTAACTGAATTAATTGAGCAAAAAGAGTTTAGTTGAAAACGTACCTCGATGACACCGTTAGGCTCCATTCCCGCTGGCCCAGCATCATGCTCACGATCTCTTGAGCTATTGGAGAAATAACGGTCAGCTTCAGACATGGCCTAACTAAGCAACCAAAAACATTTATCAGATTAACTTCAATATGGTTATTGGGCGGTTATAGTGTTGGTTAATCAATTACAGGAAAACCCAAGTCTGCCATGTGGGAAATTGGGAAAAATGTGATACGGTAAAAATACAAAAAGGTGTCTACATAGCTACTAGTTTCAGTCCGGAAATATGGGATGGCAATATTTCACACTTCGTCCAAAAATTCTAAATGACATAATGTTGCTTATCCAGTTGAGCCTGTGTGGTCCAATTTCACCAACTTTGTTGGTTGGGCGCGCACGTGTCTCGTTCGGTAATCTCAGTTAAGGCTGACAAACCCCCGAAATTCGACAAGATAAGCTCACATTATTCGCTAGCTAACATTTTATTTCCTTATAAATGTGTATTTTAATCCTGCGGCCAGCCATCTCGGTGCGTGGTAAGTTAACCAACGTTAGCTTAGCAGAGTTAGCTGGAACTAGTAGGCCATGGATGACACATTAGCATTAACTAAGTAGTCATACGTAAAATAACATGCCTATCAGTTAAGATGTACAAATGAGGTCTTGATAACTAATTAGTATATTTTACTGCATATTCTTTGCATACTAACGTTACACGCAACTAAACATGAGTCGGACGTGAACTGCCATCTTGGCAGAGCTATAAAGTAGCTAACTAACATTAGGTACTAGATAGCTAATGCCAATGGGTCCGGCGTAAACCAGCTAGTTTCCTCTGAATATCTGCAAGATGTATGGAAAATCCATGCCTATTAATACCTGTAATTTTACTATAATTGTAAATGAAACAAGTTTTTTTTTTTTACCTGTTGTAATCAGGAGACTCGCTAGACATGATCCGTTTACAACTTCAACATGTGACTGGAAAGACCTACGTAGAGGAGGACAAGCTATTTTATATAGCCGGACTATTTTTACTGATATGTAAAAACTCAATCTATTCGACAAGACTTTCTCAACTCAACAACCCAATATTTTTAATATACAAATACTTATTTTTTATGTGTTAATACTGTGAAGTTACATTCTATAAAGATAAAACAAAAAAAGATTTAGACTATATTTTATAACGGAATGATATTGCAGTACAAGTTGGATGTGCTTCGGTTGCTACGGCGTCCTCATCATGTCAAATTTCAGGGAATGGAAAATTCAATGGTCATTGCGATATGGAATCCTTGGGACGTCCCTACCTTAAATCCTAATCTTAACCCCTACCCTTACCCTAACCTTAACTCTTACCTTAACCCTTACCTAACCCTAACCCTTACCTTAACCATTTAAAAAGTCAACTTCAATGGGGTTTGGACGTCCCAAGGATTCCAGATAGCAAGGATGCAGGAGTACCTTTGCCAAGACAACATACTGTATCAACTTTATGAAATAATTTCTAACCTCACACAGACTCCTATTTTTTCTCATGTCATGTGTAGTAACGCTCTGTTTTACCCATCATACATTTGGAATGTTTTAGATTATTATCAAAGATATAGCTGTCCCGGCCCTATGCCCATGTCAAAAATGCTAAACTGAGGCTTGAATGCAAAATAAATATGTTTATTAAAACATCATGGTGCCCAAAAAATCATATTGCAAGAAAGTGCATAAATAAAAAACGTACAGGTGTGTAAATCCTACAAGTAAAAACAAAACGGACATAATTTGTAAATCGGTCTGGATAAGAGCGTCTGCTAAATGACGTAAATGTAAATGTAATAACCACTAGCAAACTCCCTGTTTACAGTTCATTGTGAAGATTGCTGCATCTTTCAATGAGATTCAACGGTGAACATGCAGTACATTACAGAAAATATGTAATTGGTGGACATTGATTCCAGTGTTTGTATAATGAGTGGTATAGATAGAGCATTATTATACAATATATATTTTGGGGATAGCACACTGCAATATCATGGGAACAGAATGCTAATTAAATAGCTGTTGGCTGGGCTCCCTGCCTGTGCCCTGCCTGTGCCATTAAACCCCTTCAACTTATCCAGAACGCTGCAGCCCGTCTGGTGTTCAACCTTCCCAAGTTCTCTCATGTCACCCCGCTCCTCCGCACACTCCACACTCTACTACAAGACCATGGTGCTTGCCTACGGAGCTGTGAGGGGAACGGCATCTCCTTACCTTCAGGCTCTGATCAGACCCTACACCCAAAAGAGGGCACTACGTTCATCCACCTCTGGCCTGCTAGCTCCCCTACCTCTACGGAAGCACAGTTCCCGCACAGCCCAGTCAAAGCTATTCGCTCCTCTGGCACCCCAATGGTGGAACAAGCTCCCCCACGACATCAGGACAGCGGAGTCACCGACCACCTTCCGGACACTTGAAACCCTACCTCTTTAAGGAATACCTGGAATAGTATAAAGTAATCCTTCTTCCCCCACCCCCCATACATAAAAAAAAAAAGAAGAAAAAAAAGGTGGTTGTCCAACTGGCTATCATAAATTGAATGCACCAATTTGTAAGTCGCTCTGGATAAGAGCGTCTGCTAAATGATGTAAATGTAATAGTAGCTATATTAATAATACAGTTGAGAGATTTTGTAATATTGTCATTTACATACTCTGTATTGTATTCTTATGGTTGGGTCTGGTAAAGAGGTATTGTGTGTCTGTCTATCTGTTCAGTTTGAAACATGAGAATATGGTATCCAGGCAGGAGACATAAGTATCTGGTGTCCAAATTTTCAGCGATTACTGGTTTCGGGTGGTATCTGATCTAGTAAATTCTATAATGTCTGGCATACTAGCATACCATTTCTGCCCCACTCAAAAAGTGTGTCCACCAACCAACCAACCATTATGTCAATGATTAAGATACACTAATCAACCATTATGTCTAATAAGATACACTATGCTACAGTCTGTCAACCGTAGTCCGTAGACAATGTCTGACTATCTGGCGACCTGGAAAAGCGACAAATATGTAGCTACATCAACATGACAGCCATCTGTTGTGTCCAACTGCGCATGAGCGGAAAAAGGTGGACGAGAGCGAGGCAGCTGTATGGGAAAAAGGGAGTCGGGCAATTACAAACATGGTGAAGAATACGTTTGTTTATCTCGTTTTTTGTGTTTATTTGTAGTTATCCCATACATCTTTGATGAAATTAACACTCTAAACACTGAATTTAAACAAACTTGCGTCAACGGTTATCTGTTAGCATTGCAAAGGTAACGTTAGCTAGCTGTTAGCTAGCTAGCTTTTCAGCAACTCGACTGGATTTCGGTTCATTGTCATTGAACAACCTAGCTAGCTTGTCAATACTGCATAGCTAGGTTGTCAGACAGTCATAGTCAACAACAGATATTAGACAGTCAGTTTAGCTATCTAAACATTAAACCTTGCTAAAGAAGCCGGCCAATCTCGGCTAGCTGGTCGTTCTAATGAACATTATGCGCCGTCGCGGATCATAGCTTTGACTAGGCCTGTTTGTTTTGCCTATGAACGCCGTGGCTAAGTTAAGAGTGGGTATTGGATAGGATGTGTGAATGCCACAACAACTTCATTGTTGTGCTCAGCCCCCCGAATGTCATGCCAATACCTTTCTGCACCCAAACCTTCATGTATAGTCGATTAAGCAGTTTTGCATTGTGTTGTCTTGATACCTAGAGGAAAGTCATTAGGCAGCTAAGTAGCTTTCCAAAACAACCTCCGTGGCTATAAGTAAGCTATTATAACATGCATCCAAGATTATGCTTATTGCTTGGTAAGATAACATCAGAAGAAGTGTGCAATGCATGTATTGTCAGGTGTGCAGACTCAAGAGTGCTGCCAGGGATGGCATTTCTACGCAAGACTATACAGTTTTGAAAGCTCACAATTCTGAGCATGAGTAGAGCTATATTTCAGTCATAGTATATTGTGTTTGTCCTGTAAATGTCTGTGTTGTTCCACAGAACAAGCTGAAGTCCTCACAGAAGGATAAAGTTCGACAGTTCATGATCTTCACACAATCGAATGAGAAGACTGCATTGACCTGTCTGTCACAGAATGACTGGAAACTAGATGTCTCCACAGACAACTTTTTCCAAAATCCAGACCTCTACCATTCAAATCTAAAGGGAGTGTTGGACAAGAAAAGGTTAGAACAGCTCTACAACAGATACAGAGGTAAGTGTTATATTTTTTTTCACATCTCTGTCTATGCTGGTTGTACTATAATAATATATGCTATTTAGCAGACGTTTTATCCAACGCGACTTAGTCATGCGTGCATACATTTTTAAATATGGGTAGTCCAGGGAATCTAACCCACTATCCTGGTGTTGCAAGCACCAGGCTCTACCAACTGAGCTACAGAGGGCTTGTCAAGGGCACAAGACAGTACTATGGTACTGTAAGTAAAAACAACAGCAGTATAACTGACTGTAAAAATAAAAATTGCCATAGGCCATGTATGATGTCGAAACACACAACTCACCTTTTACCACCAAAATCAAATAAAATTGATATCAAATAAATACATATATTTGTCAGTCAATTTACGCCTTTGTCAGTCAAGTTACTCACAGTGGTGAAAGTATTAATTGAACACCTTATTTTTGCCTTATCCTTCACTCAGACCCACAAGATGACAACAAGATTGGTATAGATGGCATCCAGCAGTTCTGTGATGACCTGGGCCTGGACCCGGCTAGTATTAGTGTGCTCTTCATCGCCTGGAAGTTCCGGGCTGCAACACAGTGCGAGTTCTCCAGACAGGAGTTCATGGATGGGATGGCAGAACAAGGGTGAGGAGGGCCTCTGAGGAGAGAGGTTTTACTTAATTTCTGGGGCCAATTTACTGACAACAAGTGACTGTGCATCTGTGTGTGTTGTGTTCATTCATTTCATAATGTAATTATAGAGGAAATGGTTTATTGTCTTCCTTCAGCCACTGAGTTGTGTAACAGAATGTAGGCTAAGCTCTTCTTTCTCCACATCAGATAGGCTAACCCTTAAACTTGTACTTGGTGCTAAAGCTTATTTTGTTCTCCTCAGGTGTGACAGTATAGAGAAACTAAAAGCCCAACTACCAAAAATGGAGCAAGAGTTAAAGGACCATGGGAAATTTAAGGACTTTTACCAGTTTACATTTAACTTTGCAAAGAATCCTGGCCAGAAAGGTTTGGGTAAGCAATCAATTTTGACATTCCTGATCTATTTTCATAGTCTGGACTTGGACTTCTCTCAGACATGTCCTCATTGTTGTGCATTTTCTAGACTTAGAAATGGCAATTGCGTATTGGAATTTAGTACTGGCTGGAAGATTCAAATTCCTGGACCTGTGGAACAAATTTTTAGTGGTAAGTTATTTTCTCTTAATCGAATAGGCTTTATTGATCCACACAGAAAGGAAATTGGATGGGTTTGCTTCAGTTGAAGGCTTCAACAAACATGTAGGGCGATAAATGAAGGCTAGTAGTTTCTCTTGATGCTAATTTTGATGTTTTCCTCCACTTTCCCTGCAGGAGCACCATAAACGATCAATCCCTAAAGACACCTGGAACCTCTTGTTAGACTTCAGCACAATGATAACTGATGACATGTCCAATTACGATGAGGAAGGTTTGTGTTTTTGTGTCATAAGGCTGAAAACTATAGCAGCCCATTGCCACAGGTCAGGTCAGGTGCATGATAATGGAATGAATCAGTTGTGAATAGAACAATATGGAGCCAGCCCACTTGTTGCCTCTCCCAACAACCACCAGAGTAGAAAAGTTATGTTTTCTTGCTTAACCCTGCATCTGTTGTGGTTCCTTTTAGATAAAGCAAGTTGAATATAATGCATGAAACATCTGTCATTTCTTTATCTCTTTCCTCCAAGGGGCATGGCCGGTCCTCATTGACGATTTTGTGGAGTTTGCACGACTGCACATCGGGACCAAAAGCACCGCTGTCTAGGGGCTGCCCAAACTCGTAGGAACGTCTATACGTTTGTTTATACAAAAAACACACAACCGAGGCGGAGAAACGGAGCACAGGGGACTGCACTGAGCTGAGATCTATGTTGCCTTTTCCAACCCTCAGGACTGAGATGTTTTACACAACAAAGACTATATAAAAGGCATATCTCCTCGTCGGTCGTCTTGTGGTGGTTTGGGATTTTATCTTTAGTATGGGGTTTTTTTTATGTCAACTCTAGCAAACTGGAGAGCAGTCGCCATCCTGGACCTTACAGTTCCTGTCCCAGTGTTTAGTTGACACAGTCGAGGTTCGCGTGAAGCAAACCGACACCCCGAAAAGACAAATACAATTGTATCGTATTCTAAACACGAGGGTCCGTGAGGGAATGTCATTCTTTAAATATTAAATTTAATTTTAATACTTTGTGTGCGTTCCTGCTATGAATATGAATTTTGTTTTATGAGACTTGTGTGACAGAACAGTACAAAAACATTTGATTGTAATTTTTGTTTGTTTTAAGCATAATGCTATTCAATTACAGATGTATAAGGTAATAAATGTTTCAATTTGGTATTTCTTTAATGTGTCCAAGGCGCTTTGTCAGGATCTTTGTGTGTTTATAATGCTGATGCACTCTTGTCTGTCATATTTCTCTCTGCCAAAGCTGATACCTGAAACCTGCTTATGAACTTGTATGTCATATGATAAAAGGATGTACTATTCTTCCAATTGTTAATTTTACTACAGATGTTTCTCAAATAGTGATGGCCTATGTACACTCCACTGGCCTGAGTGTGAATTAACTATTCTTTAATGTGGTTAAGTATGTTAGTTGGATAGAAAATAGGCAGGATGGTTTATTGTAAAATAGGAGTTAAATGATAAACTTTTGGTGTGATTCACAAAGTTTTTAGTGGATAAACTGAGACCGCTGACTCCGGTTGCATACATTGTCAAGTGGTGGTAGTGTTGCCCTCTTGTGACAACCGGAAGATGTGGTTACTAGCCACCTGTCACGGTTGCTAGGGGCCAGCATTGAAAACATACGGCGGTTTTGTAGCATGTCATGTCCCTAACAAGTTGTAAAAATAGAACAAAGTAGCAATTTCTTACTTATTGTAAATAATTATTTGGCATATTGTGTTGGTTTGATATTCAGTTCTTAAACTTGGAATTTAGTCTTACAGAACAAATGTCGAACATACTTTTATCCGAGGTAGGCTGGGATGAGGGCTTTGCCATCCCAGTTGCCAATGCAGAAAATAAGGGTTTGGAAGATGAGGTAAGTGTCTAACGTTAGCTAACAGTTTATTTGCTTATCTGTACCAGAATATCTGACATTTTATTTGTTTCGTCTGTATTTTATATAAATTGAAATGTTTATGCCTCACATAGCTGACAGTAGGTAGCTAGCTAGCTAACTAACGCTAGCTAAAACGAAACAGCTGGCATGAACATCAGTCCAAGGTGAAATATGACTGTCATTTGCTCTTCCTGCCTCTCCACAGCTTCAAAGGAAACAAAATGAGAAGTTACAACTGGAGAACAAACTTGGTGGATACAAGGATAGAATACAAGCCATGGCTGAACACCTGCAAAATGTTAGGCAGGAGTTATCTCAAACTCAGGTAAAGCTACTTGCCCATTTTGGAATTCCATGAAAAGAGACGACGACTGAGGTTCTGACTGAAAACTATTTAGCTCATGCATAGATCTACACACCTTACTTTATAAGTAGTAGTTATATTGCTAAGTAATTATGTTTATGCAAGGATTAATGAATAATGCCATGCAAACACAGGTATGACAGTAATCGTTTTGCAACAACTTTGAAATGCTGTCCTCTAACTAGTTTATTTTGATTTGCACTGTGTCAGGCTCTGTGCAAAGCCAGGGAGAAAGAGACTGAGTCGGAGATGCATTTCAAGGCCCTGGCAGAGAGAGAGGTGGGCCGCCTGCGTCAGGAGATTGCACAGCTGGACAACGAGCTTGGAGCTCTGAGGGAGAAGAAGAATGCACAGGAGGTTATTCTACGTGCCATCAACATCATAGTCTTTCAGTTCTAAATCACTAAATCAGAGGTCTTTCCTCAAAACAACATGGGTCTCTCTCTCTCTCTCTCTGTCTCTGTCTCTCTCTCTCTCTCTCTCTCTCTCTCTCTCTCTCTCTCTCTCTCTCTCTCTCTCTCTCTCTCTCTCTCTCTCTCTCTCTCTCTCTCTGTGTGTGTGTGTGACTGAGAATTCTCTGGGTTGTAGCCTACTGTAGTTAGTTATATTTCCAACTGCTAGTATTCACCTGAACATACAACGTATTCAGTGTATGTTCCACTGTGTTAGATAAATGTCTAGCAATCTGTTTCCTCAGAACAACATCTTCAAAGGCACCCAGAAGCTGGAGGAGCTGAAGAGCCAGCTGAATTGGGACCAGCAGACCCTGGACGCCTGGCTTGAGGAGTCGGCACACAAGGACGAGGACACCATGGCCATCATCAAGTATGCCCAGCAGGACGAGAGCAGGATACGGGTACGTCATTGGTGGTGTGAGTGACCGACAGCTGGGGGTACAAAAACCTGGGTAACCTGTGTGGTCTTGGATCTCTGTTACAGTGGCAAGCAAGTACAGTCCTTTCAGGATCCTCAAGAATGAACAGTATGCTGACAATGGGATATACTTAATGAACAGTACAATCCATTTTCTAAACTACTGTTAACTTTCTTTGTTTTACAGGAGCTCACCTTGTTGATAGAGAAGATGACACTTAAGGCCAACCAAAAGCACAAGGCACTGGACAACGAACTGACTGAGACCGTTTCAGCACAGGTCAAAACACCAGCTATCTTACAAACACAGGAATATCAGTCAATGTTCAATCACCCACAACTGAGAATATTTTGTTGACATTTAAGCTACTTTGTGTCCATTGTTGATAGTTACATTTCCCTTGAGATGTACACATCACACATCAAACAGAAAGCATTTATTCTTCCTTGTTGATATCCATCAGAGTGTGTCTCATGTATTGTAGTTGTGCTCTGCCAACAGATTGGTCTGGATAAGACGGCAGAGAACTTCCGCCAGGCCCACCTAGAGAGACAGGAGCTGATCCACCAGTGGGAGAACACCATCGAGCAGATGAAGAAGAGAGACACAGAGATGCAGCAGTGTTCAATGGTAACCAATAGATGGTAGCCTGCAGTCATTACAGTCAGTCATACAATATTTGAGATGATGATGGGATATCATAGCCTGGTTAAACCAGATTGAATGCTACACTCACTGCTACACTCACTATTGCTTCACTATCGTTCAGTCAGGTTCAACCAGGCTAGGAATATTATACCAGTTCAAAACTATTGTAAATACTCTAGTTTACTATTCACACACTTGGTCCAGAAACTATAACATGTATTTTATAGTTGTAGTTATTTTATAGTTGAAACAACACTGTTTCAACACCCCTTTTCATATTACGACACCTACTTAAGATTAGTTTATCAGAATCATAAAAAAGGCTCCATGAAAGTGACTGATGGCAAGCAACTGTGAAGTTTCTAAAACAATGGACTGATAATGTAAACAATGGATTTTGCCATGTATTTCCAGCTCCTCACCCAAGTCAACCAGGACATCAGAGAGAGGAATGGAGTGATCAAGGAGAAGAAGACCTTCCTGGAGAGCGAGACGGAGAACAACAAGGAGTACGAGAAGAAGACAGCCATGGCCGACCGGCAGGCGGCCAAGCTGAGACAGGAGTTCCAGGAGCAGGAGAGTAACCGCACCAGACTACAGGACCAGGTGAGTCTGTCTGTCTGTCTGTCTGTCTGTCTGTCTGTCTGTCTGTCTGTCTGTCTGTTGTGTGTCTGTCTGCTGTTTGTCTGTCTGTCTGTCTGTTGTGTGTCTGTCTGCTGTTTGTCTGTCTGCTGTGTGTGTCTGTCTGTCTGCTGTGTGTCTGTCTGTCTGTCCATAGCCTTCTTCTCAGGACAAAACATTAACAAATAAGTATTTCATAATTTGCAAACATTTATATGCATTATAACGTTGCAATTCATAAGCATGTAATTACATTTATAATGGCCTATTCAAGAAAGTGATTAAAAAGTGTAACCCAATCATTTTAGTCAATGCTTTCTGCAGACAGGTTTTTTTTTCTGTATGACTTCGTTCTATGGGAATGATGGTTTGTCTTATCTGTTATTATCACGTACCTCTTTCTAGTTGGAGAGTCTGAAAGGGACAGTGGACAGAGCAGCTACTGATGTCCAGTCCATGAGGTCCCAGCTAGCCAACATGAAAAAGGACATCCAGGACAAAAACAACAAGTGAGACATAGAGATCTGGAGGCCTCAGTGCCAATCAAATAGGAATAATTGATGGCATCGTTTTGGGGGGAACCGACCCTTTACGTTTAAATGAATTCCCTCACAGGGATTCTATAGGTAATTCTATGAAATACCCACCCTCTCATTAGTTCTGATCTGTGTGTGTGTGTGAACCTGGTCCAGGGTAAAGGGGGCCAAGCTTCATAACACAGCCCTGGAGGAGAAGCTGAAGACAGTGACGGAGACGACCCTCAGCGTGGAGGAGAGGGCCACTCAGATGGAGCAAGTACTGAAGGAAGAGGAGCAAACTATTAAAGTGAGTGTCATTCCGCATGAGAAAATAATGTTTTTGTCATATTACCAGTATGTTTATCGGAAAGCGTGTCTGCATGGGACTGGGATGGCTGGCTGCAGTTGCATTGAGCTAACTTGTGCACTTTACCTAGCAATTCACATGGTCACAATACGAACTGGATATTGCTAGATCGAAGTATATGAACATTGTATCGATCAAACTGATACATAAAATCCCATTCTGACTGACTGTATTCTCACATTTAGTTGTTTCTTTGATTTTGTGATGCTCTAATGTCATTCTATTCACTCCCATGAGGAATGTAGTGTAGCATTGTGTTCTGTTTCGTCATTTTTGCCATCTGGGGAACAGTCTCTGATGCGACTGTGTACTGCTCTCGGATGTCATTCTGTGGAGCCTTTGAACCATGTGTTGACTTCAGTGACACATTGTGTTGGTTAATGTACTCATGACCATGTTCTGGTGAACTGTCTCATTCTGCGTCTGTGTTGGGTTGCAGGACATCGACGCTCAGCTGCACCGCCACCGCGAGGTGCTGTTCCGTGAGACCCAGGAGCTACAGGCCCTGAGGGTGAAGGAGAAGGACTCCATGGCTGTGCTCTCTGGGAGCCGGGTGTCCCTCTCCAACCTGGACGGCCGCCTCAGTAAACTGGACCAGAACTCCCTCAAGCAGCAGGAGATCATCTACAACCAGGCTAGACAGCAGAAACAATAGTCTTTCTCTTGTTGTTATTTTCCTATCACTAACAATATGGAATATCCACATTGTTTATTATCCATTATCTATGCATAGTCACTTTACCCCTACCTACATGTACATATTAACTCAATTACCTCGACTAACCTGTACCCTCTGTATATAGCCTCGTTATTGTTATTTTATTGTTGCTCTTTTATTTTATTTAGTAAATCTTTTTTTCTTAACTCTTATTTTTCTTAAAACTGCATTGTTGGTTAAGGGCTTGTAAGTAAGCATTTCACGGTAAGGTCTACACCTGTTGTATTCGGCGCGTGTGACAAATACAATTGTATTTTATTTTATTTTATTTGAATAGTAATAACAGTATGGTCATTCAACAGATAGGGCTAGACCACTACCGCTGTCATTTGATCATTATCTATTTCCACCACCATGACCATTATAGCTAGCGTTCACCCTAATGTCATCACATCTCCCTCTACCATTGGGGTATACAGCTAGTCTTATAGTGTATGTATGGTGTAGTTGGTACCTCACTAACCTCAAACTTTGCTACTCCAGGACTTCCAGATCCAGCTGCTGGAGAGGAAGATGTTGCGTCTGCGTGGCGAGGTGAACACGGAGGAGAAGCAGGTCCTGGAGAAGAAGGCCCAGGAGCTGGCACAGAGGCTGGAGGAGAAGAAGAGGACGGCCACCATGCTCACCACCCAACTGAAGAAGCTCCAGGTGGACAGACCTCTCTCGTACTGTAGAATGTTCTAGATATTATTTTTCCTGATGATTCGGGTATTTCTGTTGTTTTTGTCACCTCAGCAAAGTAGGAAGACTATTTCTTGCAACCCTATCTTATCATTGAAAATCGTTGGTGTTTTTCTCTGATTTTCTATGTTTTCAAATGAGTCTCTGTTTACAGTTACCATATAATTACATTTTAGCTAAATAATCCTAAATTGTTATTTTGAGACATGCTTTTTAAAAAACATTTTTAGATATACATTCTGTGATTTGACTGTTTCTGTCATCTGACAGGATGATATTCGCTGTGTGAGGAAAGAGGCAGAGAAGACAGGAGCTGAGAAGAGAGACCTGACCACCAAGATCGAGGAGCTGCACCTGTTCAACCACATATCAGACAAGGAACTGAAGAAGCTCAGGCTCAAGAAGCAGGTGAGAACACAGACAGGCACACATGCACAGTCACTGCAGTTTTGCTCAGCCAACCTTGTCTTTATCGATATGATTAAATAAAATGATGAATGTCTTTATTATATTTGAAAATGAGAAACTCATACTCTTACACAGCCACTCATTGACACACATTGCCTCTGACCTTTGACCTTCAGGACACCATGGTGGAGGACAACATCCTGAAGCTGGAGATCAAGCGTCTGCGTGACCTGCTGTACAACAAGGCGGACAGCGTGCTCTCGCTGGAGAAGCGGCGGCTGCAGCTGCAGACGGCCATGAGGGAGCGGGAGGAGGAGATTAAGGCGCACCGGGAGATGCTCAACAAGCAGGTCAAGATCACTGACCAGGAGCGCCAAGGACTCAGGTATGTCTAAGACTGGCTCTCAAAATATACCCCATTACCCAGACAGTATAGTGAAGTGTTCTTAGAGGGATACTTAGGGGCTTTGACAGAGGCCATTTATCTACTTCCCCAGAGTCAGATGAACTCGTGGTTACCAATTTTATGTCTCTGTGTCCAGTTAGTCCCCTGTAGCTCAGTTGGTAGAGCATGGCGCTTGCAACGCCAGGGTTGTGGGTTCGTTTCCCACGGGGGGCCAGTATGAAAATGTATGCACTCACTAACTGTAAGTCGCTCTGGATAAGTTAGAGGTAGTTTCGCGAGCCAATGCTAACTAGCGTTAGCGCAATGACTGGAAGCGCTTGTTAGCAACTCCCTTCAAACTGCACACAAAGACATAAAAATGGTATCTACGAGTTCATCTGACTCTGGGGAAGTAGATAAAGGGCCTCATTGTCAAAATCCCTAATTATCCCTTTAAACCCTGAACCTGTGCAGGCTTTTTTCCCGTCCCAGTGCTAACATACCTGGGCCCGTATTCACATAGTCTCAGAGTAGGAGTGCTGATATAAGATCCGTTTTTCCTTTTAGATCATAATGAATAAGATTGTATGGACGGGGGGAACTGATTCCAGATCTGCACTCCTACTCTGAGACGCTCTTTGAATACAGGGCTTGATGATCCAGTGCCATATGAGGGGGTTGTGTTTGTTTTTCCCATGGCTCATAGAAAGTGGTAATGCAGCACTTGAAAAGAAAGCTTTCAAATGAATTGAACATAGGATAGCTAGCCACTTGGTGTTTTGATTCATTGTGTATACTCTTTATGTCAAATCAAATCAAGCTTTAGTTATACAGTACATTTCAGATATGGAATGCAACGCAATGTGCTTCACAGGAAAAAAACAACTAATAAAAACATTGAAAAATATATTTACCACACATGAATAACAATAAAAACGGAATGACTAAAAAGCACACTATGGACAAGTAAAGCTAAAAAGGTGTGTTTTTAAGGTCTCTTTTAAATATGTCCACAGTTTCGGCCCCCCTCAGGTTCTCTGGCAGGCTATTCCAGAGGCTGGTATAATAACTAAAGGCTGCCTCTCCATACCTCTTGGTCCTAGGCTTTGGGATAGTTAAAAGGCCAGTGCCAGAGGACCTGAGGGACCTACTTGGTACATAACTTAAAAGCATGTCTGACATGTATTGGGGTGCACAATCGTGGATTGATTTAAAACCCAATAGAAGAATCTTAAAATTAATTCTAAAACTCACAGGCAGCCAGTGCAGAGACCTTAAAACCGGTGTAATGTGTGCTCTCCGTCTGGTCTTGGACAGTACCCGTGCTGCAGCATTCTGTATGTTTTGCAGTTGACCAATGGCTTTCTTGGGTAGATCAGACAGGAGAGCATTACAGTAGTCAAGCCTGCTTGTAATAAAAGCAAGGATGAGTCTCTCTGTATCAGCTTGAGAGAGAAACTGCCGCACCTTGGCAATGTTCCTCAGGTGGTAAAAGCTATTTTGGTCACATTCCTAATGTGTGATTCAAAATGTTGTTCAGAATGTAAAATAACACGTTTTTGTGCCTGGTGTTTTATCTTTATTGCCCGTGAATTAAAATGTGCGGCCAGATTCTCTCTCTGTGCTTTGGCTCTAACAATAAGTACCTCAGTCTTGTCTTGATTTAGCTGGAGGACGTTGTGAGCCATCCAAGTATTTAAATCACTAATACAGTCTAATCATTTATCCATAGAGCTAAAATCCTCTGGTGACACAGACATGGTTGTGTATCGTCTGCATAGCAGTGAAAATCAATGCTGTGCTTTCTGATAATGCTGCCAACGGGTAACATATATATACAGTACCAATCAAAAGTTTGGACACACCTACTCATTCAAGGGTTTTTCTTTATTTTTACTATTTTCTACAACCAGCTTCATGAGGTAGTCACCTGGAATGCATTTCAATTAACAGGTGTGCCTTCTTAAAATTTGTGGAATTTCTTTCCTTCTTAATTATTTTGAGCCAATCAGTTGTGTTGTGACAACGTAGGGGGGATACAGAAGATAGCCCTATTTGGTAAAAGACCAAGTCCATTTTATGGCAAGAACAGCTCAAATAAGCAAAGAGAAACGACAGTCCATCATTACTTTAAGACATGAAGGTCAGTCAATATGGAACATTTCAAGAACTTTGAAAGTTTCTTCAAGTGCAGTCGCAAAAACCATCAAGCGCTATGATGAAACTGGCTCTCATGAGGACCGCCACAGGAATGGAAGACCCAGAGTTACCTGCTGCAGAGGATAAGTTCATTAGAGTTACCAGCCGCAGAAATTGCAGCCCAAATAAATGCTTCAAAGATTTCAAGTCACAGACACATCTCAATATCAACTGTTCAGAGGGGACTGTGTGAATCAGGCCTTCATGGTCGAATTGCTGCAAAGAAACCACTACTAAAGGACACCAATAAGAAGAAGAGACCTGCTTGGGCCAAGAAACACGAGCAATGGATATTAGACCGGTGGAAATTTGTCCTTTGGTCTGGAGTCCAAATTGGAGATTTTTGGTTACAAGCGTCGTGTCTTTGTGAGACGCGGTGTGGGTGAACGGATGATCTCCGCATGTGTAGTTCTCACCGTAAAGCATGGAGGAGGAGGTGCTATGGTGGAAAATAAATCCATAGTGCCTTTGCGTGGTAGACTAGGGCACATATCATCATACTTCTCATCAGGTCTTGCTTGACTGATACCCAGCTCAATGTTTGTTATCTTATCTCTGAAATATGCCACAAACTCATCACATTTAGATGTGGAGGAAAGTTCACATAGGTTTACGGGGGTAGGATTTCAGGCCATCAATGGTCGAGAAAAGTACTCTCGAATTATTCTATGCGTACATTGATTGGTTCATTTCAGTGCAGAGGTGCACGAGAGATTGTCCAAGGTCGACAAGATGAGGAAACGCTATGAGATTATGACTGTCTCAATGGCTGCTCCCGAGGGAGAAGAGGAAAAATCACAGGCTTATTACGTGATCAAGGTGAGAATTCCTTCAGACACCCCAAAAAAATTCACCAGCCAACTATTGCTTCAGTTACCAATTGATTTGGCTTATTGTGAAAAAATGGATAGTTTTGACAGTTGTGTTAATTGTTTTGATAACATGGAACTTTGTTTACAAAAAACGTTCTGACATTTGACGTTCTACCATGGGTGATGTGCTTTTCATAAGGCTGCCCAAGAGAAAGAGGAGCTCCAACGCGAGGGAGACGATTTGGACGGCAAGATCCGCAAGATGGAGAAGGAGATCCGAGCACTGGAGAACACGCTCCACGTCATCAACAGCCGCAACACAACCTATCGCAAATCCTTCAACAAAGTGACTGAGTCCAGTACGTACAGTATGAGCAAAGGTTCCTAGTGAGAGAAACTGATTCCGACAAAGCCTAGGCCTCTATGCCCCCAAACAAGATGCCAGCAATAAATATTGATTCTATGCCATCACCATGGTAACACACACATCAATGTTATCAGTGTTCTACATATATGAAGGGAAAACACAACAGAAGCAGATAAGAGAGGATATGTTAGATTCATCACCGTCTTGACTTTTATACAATTTTATAACGTATTGGTTGTTTTGTGGTGTTGTTCTGTTTAGATCCTTTTATACTCTTTGTTTTTATTTCTTGCTTCATGTTGTAAAGTGTGTTGGTACAACCCTTGTGAAATGCACTTTTTAAAGTGAATTTTACTTCATTTGAACTAAGAAGCCAACTTTAATGTAAATAATGAACCCAAAACGCTGAAGGTGAGGAGTATCAGGAGAAGCTGAAGCTGGATGAGCAGAAGAGAGCCGCTGAGGAGAAGTACAAGTACAAGAGGAGGCAGATCCGAGAACTGCAGGAGGACATTCAGGTATTTCTCCACCAAACCAGTTTTACTGGACTACGTAAACCTGATCAAGAATACTCCTGGTCCTAGCCTTGAAGTGAGCGTGGGTTTTCCACCACCCCATCATCTTCTCACACGTTTATGAAACGAGTAGAATCATCTTTTGTGTACTTAATTTCCATGTTGTTACTTTACCTCTCTCTCTGTCTCTCTCTCTCTCTCTGTCTCTCTCTCCCTCCCTCCCTCTCTGTCTCCCTCCCTCTCTGTCTCCCTCACTCTCTGTGTCTCCTCCCCCTCCCTCTCTGGTGTTCCCTCCCCCTCCCCTCTCTGTCCTTCTCCCTCCCCTCTCCCCTCTCCTGTCTCCTCTGTACTCCCTCTCTCTCTCTTCTCCTCTCCTCCTCCCCCCTCTCTCTCTCGTCTGTCCCCTCCCTCCCTCCCTCTCTCTCCTCTCTGTCCTCGCTCTCTCTCTGTCTCTCTCATCTCGTCTCTCTCTCTCTCCCTCTCTCTCTCTCTCCTCCTCCTCCTTCCTCTCTCTCTTCTCTCTCTCTCTCTCTCTCCTCTCTCTCTCCCCTCCTCTCTCCTCCTCTCCCTCCTCTCATCCATCTCTCCCTCATCCCTCTCCTTCTCATCTCTCTCTCTCTCTCTCTCCTGTCTCTGCCTTTCCCATGTGCAGTGTGTTAGATATGTTCTAAGCCCTATCATGATCTCTTCATCACATGCCTTACATTGGCTGCTTGTATTATATACATTCCCTTGTGTCCAAGAACAACAGGTCCAAAATAGACTTGTCTGACAACTCCCTCTTAACTACCAGACAGTGCAATCATAACTATGTGTGTGTGTGTGTTTGCAAATCTGTGTGTGTGTGTGATGATTCCATCGGTAGGGCATGAACAATACACTTGACAGCCTGCTTCAAGAGGAGGCCGTTCAGAACGAGAGGACTGAAGAGACCCAGTCACGTATCATGTCTATGAACAGAGAACTGGTTTCCCAGCAGGAGAAACTCGATAGGGTCACTAAGCAGGTTTGATACCACCACCCAACAACCGTCACAGAACAATTCACACCATAGCAACCATTCTTCAATGACAAAATAAAACATTAAATACGAAATACACTTTACTGTAGCCCGCCTTATGTATGCATTCATAAAGCCTTTATAACAGCTACACAAGACATAACGTCTGTCATAGGCAGTCATAAACATTGGTCGGTCATAGGGTCAGGAAACAAATCCTGTCCATATTAATCACTGCTCTGTCTTCATCCCCTGCTATCCTCCATGACAGTGCTCCAAACTGACCAAAGAGATCCGGTCAGCCAAGAAGGCCAAGGAGGAGACATTTGAGGAGAGGGACATTGAGCTGAGGGAGCTGAAGGACTTCAATAAGAATATCAACAAGATGCTGCTTGTTGCCATGGAGGAGCAGCCTGACCTCAGATCAGCTCTACACATGTACTTTGTCCAGGTAGCCTTCTTTTCTTTTTACTAGAAAAAGTATGACGTTTTTCTCCATGCACCTGATAATACTATACACTCTTCTGGGAAAAAAAGGTGCCACCTAGAACCAAAAAGGGTTCTTAAATTGTCACCGTAGAAGAACCCTCTGAAAATAACTATTTTTGGTTTCAAGTGGAATCTTTTCACTAATACGAGGTTCTACGTGAAACCTTTCACCACTAAAATATTATCCTATGGGGAGAAACGAATAACCTTTTTTTTCTAAAAGTGTAGGTGTGTGCAAATTATACCTTTTCAGCCTTGTAGAGTTGGGCAAGGCAATGACTCCATTCTGAAATCTTGACAGCAAATTGCCGTGCTGTTAGTTGATTCAAGGAAATGCAAAATGTAAGGTTTTAAGGACAGCTAGGTTTCAAACCAATCTAATAAAACTAAACTAATCAATTTCTGGCAACTTACTCTAAAAGCAATCAAGAAGTTGACCCATCCCATTAAGTCTAATTTTGGATGGCCTTTTACTCAGGACTAATAAGGTCCAATTTAATTTGTGTTTATGTGTCTCAGGCCAACTTGCCCCTGCCGTCTCCTGCCTCCACCCCTGCCAGCCGACAGAGCTCAAAGACTAACTCTGCTCGCAGCTCTGTCTCTCTCAGGTACGTCACAACTATTTTACACAGTCAATCTAGCTCAGGGGTACAGTCCGTAGCCAAATACCTGCTAGAGCCAATTATTTTGGGCCAATGGGTAAAAAAACGAAAGATGTTCCTAACTGTGAGTCTATCTCAAAGCTACATTCCTTTTACATTTTTTACATTTTAGTCATTTAGCAGACGCTCTTATCCAGAGCGACTTACAGTTAGTGAGTGCATACATTATTTTATTTTATTTTTCATGCTGGCCCCCCGTGGGAATCGAACCCACAACCCTGGCGTTGCAAACGCCATACTCTCCTAACTGAGCTACATCCCTGCCAGCCATTCCCTCCCCTACCCTGGACGACGCTGGGCCAATTGTGTGCCGCCCCATGGGTCTTCTCCCAGGGTTTTCTCCCTGACACATTTTACAACCACAAAGGTTTTTCCTGTTTAGCAGTTTTTTGTATGACTTGTTTTTAGACTGTTTTTAGACTGCTACAACGGAATTGTCCAGTATGTGACGATAAAGATTTTTTGACACAAACCGGTGCGCCTGGCACCTACTACCATAACCCATTCAAAGGCACTTCAATATTTTGTCTTGCCCATTCACCCTTTGAATGGCACACATACAGTGCATTCGGAAAGTATTCAGACCCCTTCCCTTTTTCCACATTGTGTTACGTTACAGTCTTATTCTAAATTGGATTAAATGAATTTTTTTCCTCTTCAATCTACACACAATACCCCATAATGACAAAGCGAAAGTAACGTTTTTAGAAATGTTTGCAAATGTATTAAAAATAAAAAACAGATACCTTATTTACATAAGTATTCAGACCCTTTGCAATGAGACTCAAAATTGAGCTCAGGTGCATTCTGTTTCCATTGATCATCCTTGAGATGTTTCTACAACTTGATTGGAGTCCACCTGTGGTAAATTCAATTGTTTGGACATGATTTGGAAAGGCACACACCTGTCTATATAAGGTCCCACAGTTGACAGTGCATGTTAGAGCAAAAACCAAGCCATGAGGTCGAAGGAATTGTCCGTAGAGCTCCGAGACAGGATTGTGTCGAGGCACAGATCTGGGGAACGGTACCAAAAAAATTCTGCAGCATTGAAGGTCCCCAAGAACACAGTGGCCTCCATCATTTTTAAATTGAAGAAGTTTGGAACCACCAAGACTCTTCCTAGAGCTGGCCGCCCAGCCAAACTGAGCAATCGGGGGAGAAAGGCCTTGGGGTGTGTTCGTAAATTCAATCCGGAGTGCCAGAGTGCGCTCTGGGTGTTAGTAAATTCAAAATGTTGTCAGATTGTCCGTTTTCGGAGCGTTCAGAGCACACACTGGACGCTCTGGCTGAGGAGTAGGGTTGATCCGAGTGTTTTGACGTCACAATGGCAGTCAAGCACCCAAGCTAACTGGCTAACGTTGGCTAGCTTGCTAGCTATTTCCAGACACAAATGAGAGAACACTTCACTCTGTCAATTTTACTCGCCCTTGCAGAGTTAGGCTGTTGTCATGTTATCCAGAGCGTTGGTGACTAACTGTGCTGCTGGCAACAATTTAATTATGCTTTTTTGCCGACGTTTACTGACACCGGTCATATTCAACGGGTGTTGAGCGTTCGTAAATTCATCAGTTATTCTGTGCCCTGGCACACTCAGATGAGAGTGCTCTGAAATCGGAGTAGATGGCCAGAGTGAATTTACGAATGCACCCTTAGTCAGAGAGGTGACCAAGAACCCGATGGTCACTCTGACAGAGCTCCAGAGTTCCTCTGTGGAGATGGGAGAACCTTCCAGAACAACAACCATCTCTGCAGCACTCCACCAGTCAGGCCTTTATGGTAGAGTGGCCAGATGGAAGCCACTCCTCAATAAAAGGCACATGACAGCCCGCCTGGAGTTTGCCAAAAGGCACCTAAAGGACTCTGACCATGAGAAACAAGATTCTCTGGTCTGATGAAACCAAGATTGAACTCTTTGGCCTGAATGCCAAGCATCACGTCTGGATGAAACCTGGCACCATCCCTACGGTGAAGCATGGTGGTGGCAGCATCATGCTGTGGGGATGTTTTTCAGCGGCAGGGACTGGGAGACTAGTCAGGATCGAGGGAAAGATGAACGGTGCAAAGTACAGAGAGATCCTTGAGGAAAACCTGCTCCAGAGAGCTCAGGTCCTCAGACTGGGGAGAATGTTCACCTTCCAACAGGACAACGACCCTAAGCAGACAGCTAAGACAACGCAGGAGTGGCTTCGGGACAAATCTCTGAATATCCTTGAGTGGCCCAGCCAGAGCCTGGACTTGAACCCGATCTAACATTTTTTAAAATACATTTGCAAACATTTCTAAAAAACATTATGGGGTATTGTGTTTAGATTGATGAGGGAAAAAACAATTTAATCAATTTTAGAATAAGGCTGTAATGTAACAAAATGTGGAAAAAGTCAAGGGGTCTGAATACTTTCCGAAGGCACTGTATACAATCCATGTCTCAATTGTCTCAAGGCTTAAAAATCCTTCCTTATCCTGTCTAATGATTTTAAGTGGATTTAACAGGTGACATCAATAAGGGATCATAGCTTTCACCTGGATTCACCTGGTCAGTCTATGTCATGGAAAGAGCATGATTTGTACACTCATTGTATGTCAATATGTTCTTGTAAAATATAGCTTCTTAAATGTATTTTGTATTTTTTCACTGCAGGTCAGCTGGGTCTTCAGCAAGCAGCAGCCCAAGGGCGTCGTCAGTGCAGTCTCCCCCTGTTAAGACTCTGGAGCTGGGCCTGGGGTTGTCCGTGACGTCCCTTCCTCTCATCACCTCTCCACGGGACTCCCATCCACCCAGCTCCACCAGCAGCAGCAGCAGCAGCAGCAGCAGCCGCAGCAAGCGCCAGAGCCCCTAGAGAAACCCCACAGTAGGGCAGCCTCACTTACAGAACCAGATGGCTAAGAAGACTGTAGTGGCATTAGGAAAGAGAATGTGTGTCACTGTTCAATGTACTGAACAACCGTTTGGTGAGTTGATTGATTTGCATGTTATTTTTGAATGAACTGGAACAACTTGCAGTGATATGAGAAATACACTTAAATAATAGATTATTGACCTATTCTTTGAAAGGCACATATTTTCCATTTGTCAGCTAACCTTTATAGAATTGTATTGTAAATGTGCATTAAAAAAATCTGTAATGTTTTTATTAATTTTTTACTCCTGGCAATGTGTTTCTGGATATATCCCAATAAAATATATGGTTGCTTGTCAGAATGATCAATTAGTTGATAATACAATTAATTTGTTTAAAGGCCCAATGCAATCAAAAACGTGATTTTCCTGTGTTTTATATATATTTCCACACTATGAGTTTGGAATAGTACTATGAAATTATGAAAAGGATATTAATGCCCTTTTAGTATAAGAGCTGTTTGAAAATACCACCTGAAATTTCAGCCTGTTTTGGTGGGATTGCGTTTTGGCCTGCCTGGTGACAAAAGTCTTGCTTGAGAAATTGCTCTTTGTTAAGAAGCTATTTTTGTTTCTTTTTTTACTGTTTTCATTGAAAACAACCACAGTAAGGTGCTTAATTGTTACCCAGAAACGATTTGATATTGAGATAAAAACGGCTTCATTGGACCTTTAAAAAATACTGGTTGAGGTCTTGACATAAAATCTTGTGAGACATATGGAACAACTTCCTAATAGCTATTAAAATGGGTTCAAGAGGAGACGTCTGACCTTTTTCTGAAATCACTTGTGCCTCAAAGGAAATCTTTGAAAACCTGGGCATTATTCAAAAGGCAACTCCCTACCACAATGAATAGAGGAGACAACTTCCTCATGCTGAACAAAGATTGTCAGACGGACTCACTGAACATAATCTTCCCACATCAGAGCTCAGTCGGTGCTCTTGCTCTGTCTTCTGAAACAACATCATGCTGTTCCTATTATTTTGTGTTGGATGTGTTGCTTTGTCTGCAGGGCAATCCTTTGGTAAGTTATCCATTTAATTTTGTGTTGGATGTGTTGCTTTGTCTGCAGGGCAATCCTTTGGTAAGTTATCCATTTAACATGTTTTTAATGTTCATGATTTAAAAATACAATTATGTCAGATTTAGTCCAGAAAACAATGACTGTTGAAACATGACCAACCCCAGATATCAGTGAATGAATGTGTGTCTTCCAGTTATGAGTAGCGAGCATGAGTAAGTAAATAAAAATAAAAAGAATGTGTGGAAAAGAATAGAACAATACAATTGAACAAATCAGATTATTGAATGTGGAATTTCTTGGGGGGTGATATTTCAAATATAGTAGGAAGTAGAGAAGTGTGATGACTACTGTGAAGACAGTAATCCTTCTACCTCCCCTCCCCCATACAAATAAAAAAATTAAAAGGGTGGTTGTCCCACTGGCTATCCTAAGTTGAATGCACCAATTTGTAAGTCGCTAAATGACGTAAATGTAAAACTACTTTATTTGTATTTTAATTGCTGGTCGTGACTAGACTGGGTACCAGTCTCTTTGGGCTATCATTCCACTCCTTGTAATGTTTTGTATATGACGGAGTACAGGGAGTGGAATGATTAACATAAAACAGGTCTGGATTTCAGGCTAATGAAAGATAGCTTCATGTCAATATTTCCCCCCATCAGCGCCAACACCTTCAATGGAACCAATGCCTACCACAACACAGGTGACAACACCTCCAACTTTTACTACCCCATATGTGGACCCACCTTTTGGTACTAAAGCACCGAAAAGTGGTGGGTATTTAAGCATAAAGTACATACATTGAATTATGATACTCTGCTAATTGTCTTTATATACTGACATAATTGGAATACTCTTGCCCAAATATAGGATTTGCAATTCTTCAGACCGCTGTCCAATCTTATCAGGAGCTAAATGAGACTACAGTTGATCCAGTCTTGAGTCAGGTAACATTTAGACCACAGTTGATCCAGTTTTGAGTCAGGTAACATTTAGACCACAGTTGATCCAGTCTTGAGTCAGGTAACATTTAGACTGCAGTTGATCCAGTCTTGAGTCAGGTGACATTTAGACTACAGTTAATCCAGTCTTGAGTCCGGTAACATTTAGACTACAGTTGATCCAGTCTTGAGTCAGGTAACATTTAGACTGCAGTTGATCCAGTCTTGAGTCAGGTGACATTTAGACCACAGTTGATCCAGTCTTGAGTCAGGTAACATTTAGACTACAGTTGATCCAGTCTTGAGTCAGGTAACATTTAGACTGCAGTTGATCCAGTCTTGAGTCAGGTAACATTTAGACCACAGTTGATCCAGTCTTGAGTCAGGTAACATTTAGACCACAGTTGATCCAGTCTTGAGTCAGGTAACGTTTCCTCATTCAATTATGGTGGTTTGCTTGTTTAAAAAAAAAATCTATATCCCTGGTAGCAATGTATGTATATATTTTATATAAAGTTCCACTGCATATGATTGATCTATTATACAATTATTTATATTGGAAAATAAGATATGGATTAGATGAGCTTGAGTTGAAGTAAATATTGATAAATATTCTCTCTTCTAGCTCTACCATATCATTCGGGCGCAGCAACCTGATCTGAACATCCGACTGACTGTAAAAACTGTCCAGAAAGTTTGATTATGATCAAAGACATAGCAGGTTTAACTTCTAATGGTACATCATGTTCTGCACCTTATACAGTATGCAGATGTGAACTATTATACTATACTGTATTTTCAATCATTTTATGCTGTTTCATATAATAATATAATATGCCATTTAGCAGACGCTTTTATCCAAAGCGACGTACAGTCATGTGTGCATACATTTTTGTGTATGGGTGGTCCCGGGGATCGAACCCACTACCCTGGCGTTACAAGCGCCGTGCTCTACCAGCTGAGCTACAGAGGACCACCAGTCATTCATGACAGTCATTTTTATTCATGTTAATAATACATTTGAATTTATAATATAATTGACTTGCTGCACATTCCAAATATCATCTGTAGGAGGACTTGTAATTCAAGAGTTATGTCACAACTCTACCCACTTTCATAGAATCTCTTTAACCTGATTTCCTACTGTATGAAAAGCCCACAAGTATATCTCCATAGGATGAAATACATTATCTTCCTATAATGGAATTGTATGCTAAGACTTATCTCTGTATCCATTCTTTGTTTTCAAGATTTAGCTCAGTTGGTAGAGCATGGCGTTTGCAACGCCAGGGTTGTGGGTTCGATTCCCACGGGGGGCCAGTATGAAAAAAATAAAAAAATGTATGCACTAACTGTACGTCGCTCTGGATAAGAGCGTCTGCTAAATGACTAAAATGTAAATGTATATCCTATAAATTAAAGTGAGAATGAACATGATGTATTATAAATGGCTATATGCAGGTGTCCATACCTGTGGTTGGGTTGTGTGGTGTCACATTGTTGGTATGCAGAATGCGGCTTAGCATGGAAAACCCCGATCTTGTCATCTTCTGCTTCCCGTGTTTTCAGATGGTTTTGATGTTGGACTGAATAGTCCTGACTACTGTAATCTTCTTTTGGCTATCAACATGTTACAAATACTGCAACTGTTCTCACACTGATGTAAATTCTACGGATCCAGTGACTCCAATCTTTATTATATCAAACAGAGATTAATGAAATTTGGCAAACATAAGGTGACTCTTCCCTGAAAAGAACAATCTAACCCACCCCAAAATTGTAAATTGACACTTTCTTCATTCATAAAAAAAGAAAAAGATAATGAACAATGTTATGTGTACAAATTAAGCTAAACCTTGATAACTACTAGCCACATTTTTTGTGCAAGCAAGGGGTTTCACTCCAAAGCGAAAACCAATTGGTGTATGAATTTACATCATAAACATAAATCAAATATTGTTAAGAGTTTTTAATTGAGTATACACAAATATCAACGTGAAAAATGTACCCTGTACATTTTAGAATTACGTTTGAAACTAAGTCACGTAGGCCTATGTTATTATCCTATGTTATTATGAACATACAGAACCAGAGGGCTCCAGAGAGTGTAGCCTATTCCGGTCCTGGAAGGCCGAAACACCTCTGTTTTTCATCCTCTCCTTCTTATCAGGGGCTAATTCAGATCTGGGACACCAGGTGAGTGCAATTAACTACCAGGTATAAATAAAAACAGAAGTGTTTCGGCCCTCCAGGACCGGAATTGAAGAACCCTGCTATACATGATCTGTATTCATTCCCCAATCCTTCTGCTGAAACGCTTAACTGTACAGTTGGCTGATTCGTACGCATGGCAAATCCAGTCGTTGGTGTACTCCTGGAATCCTTGAATCTTACTGAGCCCACTTCCTGCAAAGGTATGAGACAGGCAAGGCCAGAATCAGATTGTTGAGTATGGTTGACATTGTATTGTCGTTTAGTGGGGACTTTGTTTCAAGTTTTACTAGTCACATGTACGGGATACGCATGGTATATATCGTCCAACGAAATATTTCCTTGCAGGTTCCTTCTTGACAATGCAACAATAATGAGAAATAGTAAAAGATAAGAATACGAACGTAAAGTAAATGGCAGTAGAATAGGGGACGTTACCGAGGACGTTACTGGATAAAGTCGTAGGGATATACTCTTACCGACTAGCAGGTCTTTGAGGCTGCAGTAGTTGGTGCAATTATCCATCAGGCTTATCCAAGACTCTGAGATAGCATCACCCTGGTAAATAACAGAAGTGTCACTTGAGAACACGCGAGAGGCCACTGTCTGTGTGGAAGGGAAGAATGATTGATGGATTGCTTTGTGATGGAGACAAAATGACCTAAATCCTCACCATACAGTGCCTTCGGAAAGTATTCAGACCCTTTGACTTTTTCCACATTTTGTTATGTTACAGCCTTATTCTAAAATAGATTAAATAAAT